ATCCAGCGTCGCTTGATGCCGTGCTGCTGGTGCGGCTTGTCCATGGGCTTGTGTGGTGATCCCACGGGCTGGCGGCGTGAAGAGAAGTACTACTAGCCGTTGCGGGATGATCCCAAGGGTTGGCGGAGTGGCGTTTGGGGCGGAAGATGGGCGACACGGGAGCTTGCAACGAGCGCCACATGGACCCCACGCTCCATCCTCCCACGCTGCTGCCGCTGCTGCTGTTGCCGCTGCTGATAGTGGCACTGCTACTGTCACCGTGCCAGAACGAGAACGAACAATTGCCGTCTCCATTGGTGACAGTTGCCGTCTCCCCAGTGTGAAGGCCGCACGACCAAGGGGAGCTAGCGCTTCGCTCCGCGACTCCCGGCGAATGCAGATTCCTGTCTGACGACTCGGTAGTACTTTTGGCGCGCACAATAGATCGTCCCCCGTCGAATCCGGCGGCGTGCGCGCCCGTGCTGTTCCGCCGGACATGATGGATTGCGCTGCTGCTGCTCCCCCGGCTCAGGCTCCGCGTTCCCCCTTCTCCGCTGCGCGGACGTGTGTTGGCGGGCGCTGCCGCGCAAGCCTTGTTTCCGGCTCCGCTTACCAGCGCCGCGCGGCCCATCGTTCGCTCGACCGCGCGGAGGCTTCCGCCCACGAACGCGCTGAGCGCGCCGCCGCTGGCGCCGTCGCGCGGACGATGCGGGGACACTGGCGGGAGATGCGGGGACCGAGTGGGACGCGGCTCGCTCGCGGACGATGGCGTGAGATCCTCGTATTTGGCATAATGATCTCTGTCGGTTGGACTTTCCGCGGACCCCGCGGGGATGGCGCGCCGCCCGCCGCGCTGTCCGGCGGGGGAAGCGGTCGTGATTCTCTTGGCCGCCGGCGCCGGTTCGCATGAACGGAACCCGGGGCCGCCGCCGCTGTCGCATGATGCGACGCTGTCGCTGGAATTGCTCTTCGCACAATCGCTCGTTTCGCCGCTTCTCCCGTCGGCGCTCTCGTCGCTGCTCTCCGCGCCGACGAGCGGCGGCGCGACGGAATCGTCGAGCTCCGTCGAGTCGCTGCTTGTGACGATTTCGAGGGCCGGTGGGCGCCGGAAGGGCAGGCGGTGAGAAGGCGGTAACGACGCGAGGGGGAGAGAGGACAAAGCGGAATCGGCGGGCCGTCCTAAACTCCCCAATGTGGTGAACCGATTACCTCCTAGAACGGCCATTTCTGCGTTGTTCGAGGTACACACGAGCAACTAGCTCGGGAACTATACTGCTGACACCCCGATTCAGTTTGCTCTGCTAAGGTCACTCATGGGGATGCTGTGACGTCGAGAAATACTCAGCTTTTTGAGTCAGCTGATGGGAAAGAAGCAAATATCCACGAAATTTTTGCGATGATGAGACGGCACTCGCTTCTCTCCCGTCCCGACTGAATTTGATTGGAAGAAAAGGACAGTGTCTAGGCGGCCACACGTGCCTTGCACTTGCAGTGCTAGAGGTCGGTCATCTCTGTTCGGGTGGTTCAATACTCGCGCGCTGTGATGCCTAGGAGATGGTTGGCAGTTGGCACGGAGCGTCCTTTTTTTTGGTGGCGAGGCGAAACCGCAGCAGTGACTGGTGCTGAGCGAACCGTATAGTGGTCATCGCCGTCTGGAACACAGTAATCACATTCGGACGCACTGAACCGCTTTGGAACTTACCTCATCCTTCTGTGCCCCGAAACCATGACGAACTGCATCAATCCCGAACTGAAACAGTTGGGGGGAAACTCTCGGATGGAAGATGGGGGGACGATCCACACCAGCGCAGCAGGTTGTGGTTGTCCAAGCAAGACGTGGTGGGCGCGAATCGAGAAGCGCCCCGCCCCGCGTCGTCTCGGTTCCCGTTCTCGCAACCTCACCACCCCAAATGTGATCCACACGATCCCTGCGTTGGGGAGGAGGGAATGAGTGACAGACACGTGTAATGTTATGGTCAGAAACAAAGGTAATTATTCTGTTGTTACATGCAGCATCCAATGAGATCTCCTTCTAATTAGCGTCAAGTGTACAATCCCCAATTCCCATGTGGAAACTTGGTGACCCGCCCAAAATACACCGCCAGAATTACAAGTAAACAGTCATGAAACACAGGGCAACCAAGTTTAGGAAATCTGTTTTCCTCCACGGGGGAGGCCCAAACGGGAAGGTGGTCAGAAAGTACCCTTTAATTACAGTATGTTTCCAGGAATTGTACATCCTTTTTTGGATTCCAGCCAAGTATATGCACGTATTTTACCCGCATCCAGATGTCAATCTTGAGACATCAGCGACAAGCCGAATCTTTTTAGCATCGGTGATGCTCTTGCATCGCTGGCGGATAACGGCGGTTCTTGCCCACCCGTCGATCTCGTGTTTGACAGCAGCCGGTGATGCGGAATTCAGATGTGCTATCAGCCTCGCTTGACCTGCCCCCAACCGCACGCCCTGCGGCGCAAGTTGCACGCATGTGTATGCCACGGAAGAGATGATGGAAACTGCCCCGCTTATCATCATGGTTAAAACCCGCAGCCTGAATTACATTTTTGAGTCAACGCTAGGTGCGGGTTGGGTTCGGTTTGGTTTGGGTGAGGTTTGTAAGAATCGCGAAAGTTGCGAGCTAACGAAAACAAAAAGCGACAACCTGAGGGCTGGAGCAGAGTAGGAAAATCGGTGCGACATAACAGCTAACAACTCATTCACTGGTGGAAATACAAGCAACACACACCAGCTAGGGTTTTTGGGTGAACACATCTCAGACAACCCGAATTAGTAGATGCAGCGCGTATATGCAATCGAAGGGAAACGCAGGCGCAAGATGCGAGTGTCAAGCACGGAGAAAATGGGCGTGAGGAAATGAGAAATTAGCACTTTGCCGACCTCGCGACCCTCGACTGTCGCCCTTGCTCTCTCCGCCCACCGCCCTCGCCTCGCCCGTCGCCCTCGCCACCCCCGGCCCGTCGCCCTCGCTTCCTCCGCCCGCCCTCGCTTCTCCCATCCCGTCGACCTCGCTTCCCTTGCCCGTCGCCCTCGCTTCCCCCGTCGTCGCTCTCGCTTTCCCCGCCTACCACCCTCGCCTCGCCCGTCGCCCTCGCTTCCTCCGCCCGCCGACCTCGCTTTCCCCCGCCCGTCGCCTTCGCTTCCCCCGCCCGTCGCCTTCGCTTCCCCCGCCCGTCGCCTTCGCTTCCCCCGCCCGTCGCCCTCGCTTCCCCTCCCCATCGCTCGCCCGGTGGACCTCTCCTCTCCCACCTGTTGCTGCGTCGACGTCGTCCTCATTCCCATCTTATTCGCCCTCTCTTCCTCTCTCCGTCGCCCATGCCCATTCCCCTCTCTCGCGCCGACGCCCTGGTTTTCCACCCCGTTATAGTTCCCCCCCCTGATTGCGCTCAGTTTATCCCCCTGATTGCGCACAGTTTCCCCCCCTGCGTACGCTCAGTTTCCCCCCAGATTGCGCTCACTTTCCCCCCCTGATTGCGCTCACTTTCCCCCCCTGATTGCGCTCACTTTCCCCCCCTGATTGCGCTCACTTTCCCCCCTGATTGCGCTCACTTTCCCCCCCTGATTGCGCTCACTTTCCCCCCTGATTGCGCTCACTTTCCCCCCCTGATTGCGCTCACTTTCCTTCATGAATGTCCTCCGTCACCCCCCTGCGTACCCTCCCCCCTTTCCTATCACCCCTTCACCCTCTCCCCTTTCTTTCTATCTCTGTCGATCCCTCCCTCCTCTTTCTCTTTCTATCCCTGCCTGCCGCTCTCTCCCTCCTCTCCCCACTCCCCGCCCTCTTTCCCCCCACGGGGCAGGCGAAGATGGTGGACGTGGCATGTAAGCACGCGGAGAAGGTCAATCTCGACGTGCACAAGGCGCATGCCATCAGCACACGCCAGGCAGCGGCGGAGGCGTGGCGGCGCTGTTCGGCGAGGGCAGCACGGACAAGGCTGCTCTGGCCCGCATGGCTGAGCAAGAGAAGCTTCTCAGACATGCACTGGCCACGGGCGAGGGTGTGAGAGAGGGAAGGGCGCTGGTGCCAGTTGCTGTGTTTTGACCCATCTGCCGCTTCACACACTCCTGCCCCCCCCTGTTCACTCCCTTTTCACCTGTTCTCACCCCTCTTTCCCCATGCTAGCTCTCTTTCAGCTCTCTTTCTCCCTTTGCTCAACCCCCTTCCTCCTGGCTCGCTCTCATTCCCAACGCTCACTCTTCTTCGAGCTTCCCCTCTTCTTCGCTCTCGCTTCCTTTACCGTTGCCCATGCCCATTCTCTTCCTCCTTGCTCATTCTCTTCCCCCTTGCTCATTCTCTTCCCCCTCGCTCGTTCTCTTTCCCCCTTGCTCATTCTCTCCCCCCTTCCTCATTCTGTTTCCCCGGCTCAATCACTTCCCCCCCTTCTCTTCTCACTCTCTTCCCCCTTGCTCACTCGCTTCACTTCTGCTCACTCTGTTTCCCTCTGCTTCCTCTCTTCCCCCCTTCTCACTCTGTCCCCCGCTGCTTCTTCTCTTCCCTTCTGCTCATTCTGTCTACTGCCTTTCCCCCTTCACTCACCCCCGTATCCCCCAATGCAGGGTACAGGTGCCCAGCTCGAGATGTTGTGGCTTTACTACGGCCTGGTTTATTGCTTGCAGTATAGCAGAAAAAAACGGGAAGCAACATTACACCCCCCCCAACTTAGGTCTTTTATAAAATTGAGTGATTCCCCTCACTTTTACCGTACAAAAAGTACTAGTAAATAATTTGTTGCACTCCTTGGTGGTCATGTGTATGACTGCTCTGAAGCTCATAATGCTGTATCATAAAAAACAATCCGATCCGATACATGGCATGTCTATATGTCATGTTCCTGACAACCACAACACAACCAGATGCAGAGAAGACCTGTACAAACACAAACCAGGAAGTCAGATGTGACGTGGCTGAAGTGGCTGATGCAAAAGAATGACAACTGACAAATGATGAAGGGAGGAACGGAGGAAGGGAGGAAGCGAGGAATGCAGGAATGAAGGAAGGGAGTTAGTGATGGTTGGGGGAAGGGAGGTAGGGAGGACGTGGGGGAGAGAAGCAGAAGGGAGGGGAGGAAGAAAGGCTGGGGAGGAAAGAGGGGAGGAGAAAGGGTGGCAGGGAGGAATGAGGAAGGAGGACGGGGGGAACAAAGTGAAGAGACATGGAGGAAAGGGGCAACGGGATGGGGGAAGGAAGGGATAAGAAGAGGAGGGAACAGGGAGACGAGGGGATGGGAAGAAGAGGGGGCAGGGAGAGGAGGGGATGAGAAGAGGAGGGGATGGGGAGAGGAGGGGATGGGGAGAGGAGGGGATGGAGAGAGGAGGGGATGGGGTGAGGAGGGGATGGGGAGATGAAGGGATGGGGTGAGGAAAAACCAAGAGAGGATGGGTTTGAAAGAGGAGGGGATGCGTATAGGAGGGGAGGGGGAGAGGAGGGGACGGGGAGAGGAGGGAACGGGGAGAGGAGGGAACGGGGAGAGGAGGGGACGGGGAGAGGAGGGAACGGGGAGAGGAGGGGACGGGGAGAGGAGGGGACGGGGAGAGGAGGGAACGGGGAGAGGAGGGGACGGGGAGAGGAGGGGACGGGGAGAGGAGGGCATGGGGAGAGGAGGGGACGGGGAGAGGAGGGATGAGGAGGAGATGGGGTGATGAGGGGATGGGGTGAGGAGATGGGGTGAGGAGGAGATGGGGTGAGGAGGAGATGGGGTGAGGAGGACGGATGGGGAAAGGACGGATGGGAGAGGAGGGATGGGGAAAGGTGAGGAGGGATGGGTTTGGGGCGGAATGGGGTGGGGCGGAACGGGGATGGGGAGGTGAGGGATGGGTAGAAGAGGAATGGTAAGATGAGAGACTGGGAGGTGAGGGATGGGGAGATGGGGGATGGAGAGGGAAGGGATGGGGAGGCGGGGATGGGGAGGCGGGGATGGGGAGAGGAGGGAACGGGGAGAGGAGGGGACGGGGAGAGGAGGGATGGGGAGGGAAGGGATGGGGAGGGAAGGGATGGGGAGGGAAGGGATGGGGAGGGAAGGGATGGGGAGGGAAGGGATGGGGAGGGAAGGGATGGGGAGGGAAGGGATGGGGAGGGAAGGGATGGGGAGGGAAGGGATGGGGAGGGAGCATAGGCGACGGAGGGGAATGAGAGAAGGCGAGGGGCAGGTGGTGAGCGTGGGCGACGGAGGGAAGTGAGCGTGTGCGGAGTACGGGCAGTGAGCGTGGGCGACGGATGGGGGGAGAGTGTGTGCGGCGGGGTGGTGTGAGCGTGGGCGACAAGAGGGAAATCGCGTGGCCGAGCGAGGGGGGTGAGTGAATGCGGGCGGGAGGGAGAGAACGTGGGCGGCGGAAGGGGAGTTGTCGCGCGCGACGGGAGGGAGTGCGCGCGGACGGAGCTGGGGTGAGGAGGAGATGGGGTGAGGCGGAGATGGGGTGAGGCGGAGATGGGGTGAGGCGGAGATGGGGTGAGGCGGAGATGGGGTGAGGCGGAGATGGGGTGAGGCGGAGATGGGGTGAGGCGGAGATGGGGTGGGGTGGATATGGGGTGAGGCGGATGGGCGACGGCAGGGGAGTGAGCGTGGGCGACGGATGGGGCCGAACGCGACGGGAGGGAGCGAGCGTGGGCGGCGGAAGGGGAGTGAGCGAAGGCGACGGGAGGGGGTGAGCGTGGGCGACGGAGGGGAGTGAGCGTGTGCGACGTACAGGCAGTGAGCATGGGCGACGGATGGAAAATGAGCGTGCTTCCCGTCGGAGTGAGCGTGGGCGACGGGAGAGAGTGAGCGTGGGCGACGGAGGGGAGTGAAGATGGGCGTTTGAGAGGAATGAGCGTGTGCGACGGAGGGGACAGTCGCGACGGGAGGGGAGTGAGCGTGGGCGGTGGAAGGGGAGTGGACGAACGCGACGGGACGGAGTGAGCGTGGGCGGCGGAAGGGGAGTGTGCGAACACGACGGTAGGGAGTGAGCATGGGCGACGGGGGGGAATGAGCGAAGACGACGCGAGGGAGTGAGCGTGGGACGATGGAGGGGAAAGAGCGAAGGCGACGGGAGGGGAGTGAGCGTGGGCCACGGGGGGGAATATGATTACGCGACGGGAGGGATGAGCGTAGGCGACAGAGGGAGTAACCCTAATGCGACGGGAGTGCGTCACAACGAGCAAAGATCGCGATTGAGACTGCACTAGTTGGAGTAAAAAATCAAAATCTAAGCAGAGCGCTAGGCTAACAGTAGGCTAGGACTCCCCGATTTCTGTCGACCTGAATTACAAATTTCTTGGCTAGGTGTGCACACCCACAGCCAAACTCGTTGCCAGGCACCCTTGCGATCCTACCCTGCGTTGCGTGCGACTTCCTCACGTTTACTGGTTGGACACTTGGTAACCACCCAGGTTCGGGAGGGAAAGTGTTAACACCTCAAAACACTTTTTGTAATTCAGGCTGCGGGTTTTAAAGGTTAAATTTGTTTTTCTGGTCGTAACCAGTTTATAAGGGGTATCCACTCCTAGATGAGCACGTGCTAACCCCTACTTGGGGCTGGCAGAACACGCCTGCACGGGGGTGGGTTCGATCCCAGGACCTCATCTATCGGAAGTGCCTCTTTCTACTGACTAGGCCACTTCGGGATAACCCGCTTATCATCATGACAGCAGATTCTCAGCAACCCCAAACCCAGCTTTCCCGCAAGGAAAGGCTGACTGACCAACTGTAACGAGTGCAATGCACAGTAACAAACGGGGATTGCACAATATGAGCCGAAGTTTGGTAAGCATTATATATATAAACGCAAATACTGGTAGTGGGCTATGCCACACTAGCACCAAGGCCCAGTGTAAGCAGCCTTGGCAAGCTGGCATAAGCTGTTGTGTTGCGTACAATGACGGGTGAAGAAAGATCGAAGCCAATGAACATTGTTGTACGAGATGAAAACAAACAATTTTCTATGTCCTCGCACTGATGGGAGAGTTCAAAGACTACCATGTTTGAGCATCATGTGGGCATACACACACCTGCTCACTTAGACACGCACATGCACATACACTCATACCCCCTTCCGTAATCCACCACACACGCGCGCGCGCGTATGCACGCACGCACAGAAGGGCATATACACTGAGCAGTGTTGCGCAAGTTTTGAAGCCGGACGCAGAGTGATTAAATATCCTTACAATCTCGAACCAATGACATACCGTATAAATTTAATAAACTTGTTACACAAAGAGCAGGCGCAATGTTGCTCACTACGTGACTCACTCAGGGTGAGAACAAACAATCATCAACACCAACTGCTCTACCACTAAAAAGTGGGTGATTCATGGCAGGGCGCCAGTTTTGGAAGGCCCCGCTTTGAAGAAAAATCGAGGAGCTCGTAGGTTGTAGCGATTGCACCTCCCCAACCCGAACCTCCCCACAGGTCAAATGCGGACTTGTCAACTCTACTTGCTGTCCCACATTCTCACCACTTCTGGAGGACGAGCAGTCAGCAAATGAGCTCGTTATACCCTCACATGCAACTGGATGCCTTGCTGCTTCACTCGCTGCCTCTAAACCCTTGCTGCTGACATGAAGAACCGGGTCCAATTGCGTACTCCTGCTGTTCGTCCCCACATGCCTCTGCCCTCCACCAACAGGCTTCCCCCCCACCCCTGCAGCCATGCCCATCCCTCCACTTTGCTTGTACCTGCTGCCTGCACCATTCACTGCGACAAGTGAGCTCCCACCACTATGGATATCTCCTTTCCTGTGCTCTGGACTCCTCACATTCACGCTTCCCACCTTGCACCACCCACTATCCGGCGACCGAACAATCAGATCCGAAGCCTCCAAATCACCTTCTCCCATATCCTGCTCTTTTCTCCTCCTCCACCGATCCTCATCTGCTTCGGTGCGACGATCCACCCAGAGGCCAGGCTCGGAGCCCACGCGGCGCATGCGCCTGCGATGTGTTTGCCGCGGCATGGGCGCTGGGCTGAGAGGCGGCCGATCATTTACTTCCTCTTGACGTGGGCCTTCGCTCAGCTCCAAGGCCGGCTTGTTTTTCGCCTGATTCCCTTTCTGCTCCGCTCTGCCTCTCCCCTTAGCGCCAAGTGACGCATCCAAGGGCAGGTCACATTTCGAAGCCGAATGTGCATGCGCCATCCCCGTTCCTGCCCCGGAAATCTCAGCTGCTGCTGCTACCAAATCATGCGCTGACAGTTGCTGTGTTGGCAGGAGCTGTTTTGGAAGGTGTTGCATTGGCAGCTGCTGAGCTGGCAGCTCCTGAGTTGGCAACTGCTGAGCTGGCAGCTTCTGCAGTGGAAGCTTCTGCACAGCTTCCGACTGCACCAGCATTTCCATCGACACGTTCGGCAGTTGGGAGAATGACATGGAGGAGCGATGGCGGAAGCGAGGCGGGTCATTGTCAAGGCCGGAGAAAAGGCGATGCTCTGTGGCAGGCACAAAGTGGGGAGTACTCCCCTTGGCCCTAGTATTAGCTATACTTCCCACAGTGTCCGGGACAAGGGGAATACACCCTTCCGAAAAGCTTCCGCAGGAGTCACCTCTCAGCGTCCTGCGTCTCCCAGAGGTATTGAATGCTGCACTCGCCACACTCGCCGCGCTCGCCGCGCTCGCCTCATGCGATGCTGCTCTGCAGTCCTTGAATGCCGCATGCGTCGTCGCACACTCAAGACGCGACGCGGCGTCGTTGAACGCATCCGTCTCGCGCGTTCCTTCGGTTCGGCTGCGCCGCAGCAGCGGAGGCACCTCGAGGGACGGCTCTGGGACACTGGGGCACGTCGGAACGCCGCGCATTGGCGCTGATGTGCGTTGCGGCGTTGATGTGCGTTGCGGCATTTGATTCAGCGCCGACGACGACGGGAATGAGTTCAGAGATTTGATGCGGTGGGGGCGGGCAGAGGGGAGAATCGACCCGCCCCACAGTTGATGCTTTGGCGGCTTATTCGCCGTCGTTCCTGCACCGTTGGATATACCGTTAGGTCCCCCGTCGCTTGGTGGCGTGCTGCTAGTACTGCTTACAAATGCGCCACCCGTTTCCGGGCTCCCGGCGGGATGATCCCAAGGGTTGGCGGAGGGCCGTTTGGGGCGGAAGATGGGCGACACGGGAGCGTGCAACGAGCGAAAGATGGACCCCACGCCCCATCCTCCCGCGCTGCTGCTGCCGCCGCCGCCGCTGCTGCTGTTGTGAAACCACAAGGGACTGCTGCCGCCACGCTTGCCGTTGCTACTACTATTGCTGCCTCCGCTGTAGAAAGAAAACGACCCGGACACCGTTGCCGCCTCCGACGCCGCGTGAATCATGTCGTGCGGCGAAGGGGAGCATGGGCTGCGCTCCGCCTTTTGAAGCGCCGCAAACGGGGAGCTGGGGCTGCGCTCCGCGATTCCCGGCGACTGAAGAGATCTCAGGTTGTCCGAAGAGTTGCTGCTATTGGCGCGCACCATCGGCCTTCCGCCGTCGAACCCGGCGGCGTGCGGCGCGCCCGTGCTGTTCCGCCGGACATGATGGATTGCGCCGCTGCTGCCCCCCCGACTCTGGCTCCGCGCTCCGCGACCCCCGCTGCGCGGCCGTATGTTGGAGCGCGCAGGGCAATGCTTGTCTTCGCTCATCGTTCGCTCGGCCGCGCCGCGGAAGCTTCCGCCCACGAATGCGACGAATGCGCCGCGCGGACGATGAGGCGACGGAGGGGGGCGATGCGGGGACGGAGGGATCTGCTCGCTCGCGGGCGACGGCGGCGTGGTATCCTCAGTGATAGGATAATCCCTACTGTCGGCGGTTGCCCCTCCCGGCGCGGGGTTGCCGCGCCGCCCGCGCTGTCCGGTGGCGACGGCGCCGCTCACGCTGTCGGGGGAAGCTTCCGTGATATTCTTTGCCAGCGATTGGCACGAACCGAACCCTCGGTGCGAGAGGCCGCCTTCCGCCAGCCGCGGCGGTACTACCGAACCCGCCACCGCGGGATTCTCGCGCAGATGTGAGCGCTGCGGCGCGCTGGCAGGAGAAATAGGCGGGGGAAGACTATCGTGGACAGTTGTAGTTAGCAGGGAATGTGCGGTGTCGGCATTGGCGCTTCCGCGCGCCCTGTCTGCTAAACTCCAGCGATTTCCCCCCGGCGCCGCGGTCCTTCTCGGCTTGACGGCTTGGTTACCATTCCGCAGCCATTCGCGAGCGGACGAATCGCTCAAAACGGGGCTGCGACTGCCGCTGTCGCATGCGACGCTGTCGCTAGAATCGCTCTTTGTGAAGTCGCTCGTTCCGCCGCCTCTCCCGTCGGCGCTCTCGTCGCTACTCTCCGCTCCGACGAGCGCGGAGATTGTATCATCGAGCTCTATCGAGTCGCTGCTCGTGAGAATATCGAGGGCTGGAGGGCGCCGGAACGGCGGGCGGAAAGAAGGCTTTGCCGCGGGAAACGGGGTCTGAGGAGCGGCATCAGCGGACCGCCGTCCTAAATTCCCCAACAAACGGCCTCCTAGAACGGCCATTTCCACGCGACGCGGGCTACACACGACGCGACGCGTCCTAAACTCAATATATTAGAAGTAATGCTACGACGCTCATCCAAGACGGAAAGATATCCCTTGCTTGGTCATAGGGGACCAGAATCGAGCGGAAGGAGTAGGCATTGATTCTTCTAGAGCCTCAGCGTGGGGCTGGTGGGAAGCGTGTGCGATGTGATGGTGTGATACAGTGGTGCTGTGGCTGTTTCAAGAAAAAGACGGCAGCACTCTCCCACTTCACTCCCAACTCAACCCTACAGATGGAAGGGCCAGCAGCAGCTCAGCAGCAAGCGTGCCGTGCACTGGAAATTTGACGAGGACTCAAAACCAATTTCCGAATTTAGGGCGGGTCTAACTCATCACACCTCAGCTCATTCTCACCCTTTTTTGTAGGGTAACCGCGTCAAATATTGAAATCAAACTGGATGACACGTTCGGTTTCCCAACTTGCAAAACGAGTCCCGTGCCAGATCACATTTCTCACTCGTAGAATTTGCGAAATAATTGCAAACTTGGCAGCTTTGACATTCCGTCACCCGCAGCCTCACTTCCCGGTAACAGAGTGTTTCTGCTTCGAGAGAGTGATGTGCTCTTCGTCGATTAGAACGATTGGTCTCAATACTCAAGTTACCCTAACGACGATTTGGCTTTTCGCAAAGCCAATGTGTTCTGTTCGATTCAGTTTGTGTGGGCGGGATGCTGGGTCCGCGTACACCCTCCTGGACGTGAAACGTATTTGGGTTTGGATTGCCTGATCGTTACCCGAAAAGTTGTGGTATCGTTACAGGGGGTGAAACCGCCAAAATGAAATGAGTATGACCCGCCCTAAACACCCTCGCGAAAATTTGACAGCTGGCAGGCAGCATGCTGCCGATGGTCGTGCGGACATGTGGCTCTGAGATTGTGCGCAGTGTAACTTCTCGTGTTCTGCACTCCGCACCATCGCATACCGACGCACGAAACCGCACACGACCTCCGCATCGCCTCGGGGACGAGACGACATGCTGGTGGTGTTGATCACGCGTCTGGTTACCAACTCCCAACCAGTTTGGCGATGGAAAGAAACAGTACGGGCTCTGCGGAAGGGGGGATGAGGGGGGGAGCGGAGGTCCACACAGCACAACACACTCCAGCTGTTGGGGGAAGGCGGCTGTTGCGCACGAACGAGCGGAGCGGGTTCGCTTCGAATGTAGCTAGCGAGAATGGCTACGAAAGGAACGTCACTCGAAACAATCTTCCGAAACGACGCAGACAAATACAATGTAATGGAAAGGCACGTGTAATCGTTGCGAATCAACATCCTCGAAAGATATCTTTAGAAATCATGAGGTGGTGTTTGGTCGCCGCGTGCAAGACGGAATGGCACTGTACATAAAACAGGCGGGGCAGTCCGAAAACTCATTCGAATGGTTCCAGGACAAACATTTCATTTGAAAAGATTCCTAGCTACAGTCGATACTCAGCCTATCACAATAATTTGCTTCTACCAATTAGAAAATCAGTCACTCGCGAACGTTTTGCCTGTGGGTGGTGATTGTACAGTCACCAAGTCGAGGAAGAAAAACATCTACAGTTCATAAACAACAACGGCTGCCCGTCACCAGACGTGTTTACCTGGTTACGAACTTAAACCCCTAGACTCGTTTCACATTCAAATTCCATTTTACAGCCATCACATTTTTGCCTGTGGCGACAAGGGCGAATCTGGCGAAGTGCTTGAAACTCGTTTCACTCACATGCCGCCCGCCTACCTGGTGTTCTTGAAATGAGCACCGACTGTACCCTTCCGCACTGCTCAATCATCACACTCGTCGATTTCGCGCAGTACAGTCGGTGCTCATTTCAAGAACACCAGGTAGGCGGGCGGCATGTGCGTGAAACGAGTTTGGGGTATTTCGTTCGTCATGTTCGCCCTTGTCGCCACGGGCAAAATTGTGATTGTAAAATGAAATTGGAATTTGAAACGAGTCCGGGGGTTTAAGTTCGTAACCAGGTAAACAATTCTGATGAAGGGCAGTCGATGTTGTTTATGAACTGTAGATGTTTTTCTTCCGCAACTTGGTGACTGTACCCCGAAATCAGCACAATCACCACTCACAGGCAAAACGTTCGCGAGTGACTAATTTTCTAATAGTGTTAGCAAATTTTTGTCATAGGCTGAGCATCGACTGTACTGTACCAGATTCGGCTTCCACATCCAGCCAGTCTCACTTGACTTGCTGCCACGAAACTGATAAACTTCCACTAAAGGTAACCTCGACCTTGGTATACAGCAGAAAAGCGGTTCCCGATGGTCACGGCGCATAACTGAAGAGTGTACATGTAGAATAGCACCAGGACATCTTTCCACAGCCTTAAAATGATTCGTGGAATCGGGAAAAGTCGTTTTGATTAGACATAGACACACTGCAGCACCAACTGCTTAAAATAACCAACCACATATCTCGCTTAAATGGCAAAAAGCAAGTGTAGTGAAAGTTTTCAAGTGAAGAGGATGACCTATTACCATAATATGCATAGCCATGGTTGTTCTGTGCCAACACCCACACATGCATGGCTGTCATCCATCCCCTCTGGAGAATCATTTCTCATCAAGCCACACTTCCAACCGTAACCGCTGCTCGTCTCTTATCCAGTTACCACCAGCCGCACCATGAGCTACCTCCGATATATCCTCCTTGATCCGCAACGGTTGTTGGGATTGCCACAGCAGGCCAGGAGGGGAGATGAGCCGAAACAACCGGCTTGATATGCTGGGATTGGTGGGGGAACAGAAGGGGAAGGGCGATGTAGCGCAGCAGGAGGCATACATGGCATGTCAGGGGCAGGAGATGCGGGGAGCAAGGAAAACTGGGGAGAGATGGATACACACTAGCAAGCGCAAGTGATTCTCACCCGAAAATAAACATGTTTTTGTTGTTGTTGTCTTCTTAAATTCTCTCACCTCGTCTGTGCGTCCCCCGTAGAGGCTGCCCCGATAACAGCATCCTCCGCAGAGTCCTCCGCTCCGTCGTTGATGAACGCAAGCAGTGCTGCTGGCACCGTCACCGCCCTCCTCACAGCTGCCCTGTCAGCCACCCGTTCTCCTGCCACGTCAGCACTAGGAGCATCAGCTGCAATCTCAGCACTGGGAGTGACAGCTGCCACGTCAGCACTGGGAGCAACAGCTGGCACATCAACAGTGCATGAAGCTGTCGCACAAGTTGCTACCTCCACCGCTCCTCCTCGTGCTCCACCCCTTTCCACCGCATCAGCCTGTTCCCCTCTAGCCTCCCACTCTACCTCCACCTTTGTCCCTCCCTTTCCTTCCACCCCTCTCCTGCCCTCCCCTTTCCTCAACCCGCTCCCTTCCCCCTCATCCGCCGCCTCCTCTCTGCTCCCCTCCCCACCCCCGCTCTCAGATGCTCTCCCATCGCTCTGCCACCGAGCAGCCTTGTCCCTCGCACTGCCCAGCCCCACCACCCTGCCACCACCCACCACAGCCGGCCCTGCCCCCTCTCCGCAAGACACCGCAGCAACAGGCGTTTTGGCTGTATCTGCTCCATAGCTCCCCTCCGCCCTTCCACTGCAAGCGTCTGGCGTACTGTTGTCACCACCAGCTCTCACACCCCCATCTGCACCCTCACCCTCACCCCCCCAGCATGTGGCAGGGCATGCCCCTCTGCAGCCCTCAGCGCAGCAGCACCCTCCGCCTCTGCACCCGCACGGAGGGGACCTGGGGGCACGTCGTTTGCGCCGCGCAGCGACGGCAGGAGCGGCTGCAAGTGCTTGCCTGCTGCGTTCTCTTGCCTTCCACCCGACACATCCACGCCCACGCGCACGGAGGGGAGGGGGCGTGGCGGCACGTCTTTGGCGCCGCGCAGGGACGGCAGGAGGGGCTTGGCGGCGGCCAGGCGCGCCAGCATGCGCTGCAGGGATGCCGGGCCGCCAGCTGTCATGCTGCGCGCGATGACGTGGCAGTCCGCCACGTCAGCGCCGGCGAACTCGGCCTCCCGTGAGCAGGCGAGCGTGTCGGCCTGGTTTGGGGGGGGAAGAAGATGGGGGATGATGGTGGGGGAAGAAGGCGATTTGCGGTGGGATGGCGGAAGGGGTTGAGATGGGGGTGACGGGCACTCCCTACCTGCCGCCCCACCTGCCGCCCTACCTGCCGCCCCACCTGCCGCCCTACCTGCCGCCCCACCTGCCGCCCTACCTGCCGTCCTGTTACCTTGAGCGCCACGAGTGCAGGGACGTTTCCATGCACGCGCTGCTGCACGCCCGCGAGCGCCGCTGATGGCTCGTGCGCCGCCAGCAGTAAGAGATCCGCCAGTCGCGCGTGCACTTGGGGGGGGGGGGGGGGAGGGGGGGGAATGGGGAGGAAGATTAGGGGAAGAGAAAATCGGTTGACACTAGGGGCGGGAGTGCCGCTGATGGCTCGTGCGGCGCCAGCAGTAAGAGATCCGCCAGTCGCGCGTGCACTGCGCAAGAGAGGCGGAGAAGGAGGGGAGAGAGAAAGGATGACACGAGGGGTGCGGAGGACTTCGTTTCAAGGCGCCTGACGAGTAGGCTCGTGCGGCGCCAGCAGTAAGAGGTCCGCCAGCCGCGCGTGCACTGCGGGGGCGGAGGGAAGGAGGAAGGGAGGGGACGGTCGGGGAGTGACAAGGAACGACACAAGGGGTGAGGCGGAGGAAAGGAGGAGAAGGCATTGGATTGCATGGGTTGACAGGCAATGACGATGGAGAGGGGCGGAGTGGGGCGGTGAGGAGGGAGTGCAGTCGCGCTGTGCTCCACTCTCCGCCCCTCTCCGCCCACTCCCCTTCCTCTCCGCGGCATAACTCCCCACGCGATTATCCTCCCCCACTCCCTCGCACGGCGCGCAAACGCCGCCCCTCGGCGCACCTTGCTGCGCGGACGGCGCCTCCGCCACGCGCGGCGGCATGATGGCGGCCTGCGCGAACGCGTCAGGTGGAGGCGGAGCTTGCTGCGCGGAACGCGCCGCTCAGGCGGAGGTAACTGCGCGGAAAGGTGCGCGGAAGGACTGACTGCTTCGGGTATCGCGAGGTGAACTGGCGGAAGTTGCGCGCACGTTAATCACCTCCCGCGCAAATGGCTTTTGTACGCGCGTTGACCGCTCGGCGAATAAAGATGGCCTGAAGTAAAAAGGTCGTTAAAGAAGTCACTAAGGCTCGCGACAATGCTGTCGGAATGCCGCACGGGATGAGGTAATGACAAGAAGTCGCCATTTCCAATCCAAACGCAAATTTCGTTGTTGTCAGCAGCCCATTTCGAGAGCAGGAAATGTTCGCGTCAACGCTCATTACACGGAACGCGCTCGCGTCACGTCACACTCAGCTGTCCCCGCCGCGTAAATTCTCCGCAGCTGCCTATTCGAGGCGCCTCAAAGGGCGTGGTTAGCCAGTCCTTATTTGGCTGAATAGTAATCCTATTTAGGATTACTATTCGAGGCTCTCCTATTAGGAGAGCCTCTATGACAGTCACAACTCACCATCACCATTGGCACCGTCCGTCTTTGAAACACAGCCTCTAGAATAATCCTTCTAGGCGTTTCAAGGGCCATCTCCACCATCTCAAACGCCAGTCCTCAAAGGGCGTGCTGCCGCCTCGTGCCGCCAGTACCCGGATGATCCCAAGCCATGCTGCCGCCTCGTGTCGCTCGCTTCTCGCCCTCCCCTCCTGCTCGCTCCGCCCCATCCTTCCCAATCGCCCACAGCCTTCGCCCTTCGTCACCCCTCCGCGCCCCTCGCTCTCCCCCGCCCCTCCTCTCTTCTCACCCCGGTCCTTCCCTCTCGCCAAGGGACGTCACCCGTCCATCCTCTCTCCCGCCTTGCTCTCCTCTCCCTCTCCTGCCGTCTCTTCCTCCTCGCATCACCGCCAGTCCCCTGCCAGCCCCCATAGGGCCTGGGGAGGCGGGAGGCACTCCTTTTTTTCCCTGCTGTTGCCGCTCCTCCTCCTCCTCCTCCTCCTCCTCCCCCTCCTCCTCCTCCTCCTCCTCCTCCTCCCCCTCCTCCTCCTCCCCCTCCTCCACAACCCCCCATCCTTCACCCCAAACCCCTGAAGTCTCGACCAATAAACCCCAAAGCCCCAAACCCCCCAACCCCAGCCCCAATTCCCTGACCCCTAATTGGCTAACACATCTCCTCCTCTCGCGCGATTGGCTGCTATCGCCTGCCAAAGCCGCTCCCCACATCACCCAAGTGCTCCTGGGTCCAACCCTGCAACATGCCTGGGCCAAAATCCATAGATTACCTTGGAGGAGCGAGGACTACTTGGGTCAAGAGCTCGAGCTTTCTATAAATAGAATACCAGCCCATGGGCTTTCTATTAATAGTACACTCGCAGGATTGGTGGCTGCTGTGGGTGGTGGTGCTGGGAACAGCGCTCCTCCCTCTCCGCTAATCTGCACCGTTGATGTGATCCGGGACGATCTCATCCATCCGTTGGCGGGCGGCAACAAGCTGCGCAAGCTGGACGGGCTGCTGCCACCCGTGATCCAATCCGGGGCGACTGACGTGGTAAGCAAGAGGGGGTGTTACTAAGAATAGCCCAAGCAGTAACAGGGCGACCCGTCATCCTTCCTCTTCCATTCCCCTCTCACATGTCTCCCATCCCTTACCCCCCTACTCACGTCTCTCCTCTCCCCCTTGGTCACCCCCCAACCCCCCCTCTCCAGGTCACGTGTGGGGGTTGCCAGAGCGCGCACACTGCTGCTGTGGGTGAGTCATGCCAGAGCACGTGGTGCTTCTTGCTTCTTACTACACCGCTTGGATTCAAACAACTCGGAACGATCTGGTCTTCGGTACTATTCGGTTTAATGCGGTACTCTGTGGTCAGTAGTGTACGGCTATCACGGCCAAACTCATTCTTCTTGTCCCCTTCTCCCCGTGTCCCTTGTGCTCCAGCCGTGGCGTGTGCAGAGAGGGGCCTTAAAGCCCACCTCGTGCTCAGGGGAGAGCCGCCCAAAGTCCCTACCGGCAACGCCCTCGTCTCGCACATGTTCGGCTGCCCCAGATATGTTTCCCGGGCAGAATACGCTGACCGGGAGAAGGCGCTTCTTTCTCGGGCAGCTGCGGTGGCTGGGATAAGGGGGACAGTCCAATGGGGTGCTGGGCCTGCCACGTCATCCATGAACTTTGGCATATCAGCAGCTGGAGAGGCCACGTCAGCAGCTGAATCTGCCACGTCAGGGTTGAGCGACACGTCAGCAGGGGTGCATGACTCAGCAAAGGGGCATCCACGTGTGGCAATCATACCCGAGGGCGGATCGGATGGGCTGGCACTGCTGGGTGAGACAACCAGTAACGGTGATAGTAACCACTACTCAACCAGCAGCACTACTCCGAGTGGTGATGGTTAATCCAAGTTCATCAGCGATTCCCCAGCCACTCCTGTTGCTGACCCCACTCCCCTTCCGTACCTTTTTCCTTCTCTCCTCTTCCCAACACCAGCACCACCCTCAGTCTCGTCTGCTCCAGTCCCCCCCCCCTCTGCCAGGTCTCCTACGGCTAGTGCACCTGCTGGCGGAGCAGGACACACAGCACGAGTACGAGCAGAGGCAAGCAGGTCTCGTTCCCCTTCTCCCTGCATGCACCTGCTCAGTCTCACTCTCTCCTGCGCCACTCCTTCCCCCCTCTGCCAGGTCTCCTACGTCTAGTGCACCTGCTGGCGAAGCAGGACGCACAGCACGAGCACGAGCAGAGTCAGGACGAGCACAAGGAGCAGGGGAGGCGAGGCGGGCGAGTTAAGCAGCGCAGGCGAGTGGTGGTGGTGGACAGTGGCACGGGCACCACTGCAGTCGGATGTGCACTTGCTGTGCACCTGCTGGGGTGAGGAGGAGGGGCACGTGTTGCGACGGGCTATACTTGTTGCAGTGAGCCGCATGGGTGTGAGAGAGGGGGAAAGAGAGAGTGACAGTGGTGGTGGTGGATAGTGGCACGGCCACCACTGCTGTTGGCTGTGCATCTGCTGGGGTGAGGAGGAATTGTTTCCATGAGCTGGAATTGTGTGAGAGAGAGGAGGAGAGAAAGGGAGAGAAAGGCTGCTAGTGATGGTGGGTTTCATTCTGTGAGGCACTTTTGCCTCCTCTGCCATACTTCTCCCCCTTTTCCCCATGCCCCACCTTGCCATCCCCCCTGCCCCTCTCCAGTCTGCCCTGGCTCGTGGTGGGGGTAACACTTGCCGGTACCCCCGATTACTACACCGCACAGCAGGAGAAGCTGCTCAGAAGCTTTGCGGACCAGCTCCCGTCGCTGCTCTCTCAACCGAAATCGCCGCTCCCTGTGACAAGTGTCCCTGTGACCGTCCGCGGCCAGGAGGATGAGTCTGAGAGCACCCCGACAGATGAGGCACAAGGGGCAGAGAGGGCAGGGGGGGCAGAAATGGCAGGAGGGGCAGAGAGGGCAGGGGGGGCAGAAATGGCAGGAGGGGCAGAGAGGGCAGGGGGGGCAGAGGGGGAAGCGGCAGCAGAGGAGGTGGGGCGAGCACAGCAGCAGCTGTCTGCCTGTGTCCACGCCCTTCCCCTCGTGTGGGTGCCTCGAGAAAAGCCCCGCCGGTGCGTCCCATCCCATACACTCCCGTCCCTCCTCCATTGCAACTCTATGAGGTGATTTTTGACTCGACTCAAGAACGCCCTTCCCCTCGTGTGGGTGCCTCGAGAAAAGCCCCGCCGGTGCGTCCCATGCCTTACCACCCTCCCCCCTCCCCATACTGTGCGTTCATGCGGGCAACAGGCATCCCCATCGACCCATCTTCACTCTTGCTGCCTAGTTGTGACACGTCTCAAAGTGAGACTTCTCCCCCACTCCTTCCCTCGCAGCTTTGGAAAGGTGCTTTCAGGTGAAATCTCCCTGTGTTGTGAGTTCATGCGGGCAACAGGCATACCCATCGACAACACCTACACCTCAGCTGCCTTGCTCTCCCCCCCCCACTCCCCCTGGCAGATTCGGCAAGGTGCTTCCTGGTGAAATCTCCATGTGTTGTGACTTCATGCGGGCAACAGGCATCCCCATCAATCCCATCTACACACTAGCTGCCTGGGAGGTCGCCCTCGCTCTCCCACGTACCCTCAGACTCTTCATCGCTCTTGATTCCCTCTTCCCCACTCTCCCCATTCCCTTCCCTTGCAGCTTTGGCAAGGTGCTTCCTGGTGAAATCACCCTGTGTTGCGAGTTCATGCGGGCAACGGGCATACCCATCGACCCCATCTACACACTCGCTGCCTGGGAGGTTGCGCACGCTCTGCCACACGCCCTTGCACTCACCGGAGCGTTAGCTCTAGCAAATAGCGGTGATGCTGGAAAGCCTTCAGACTCTTGTCAAGAACACCCCGGGGTGCAGGCACGGTGCAACAGTAATCAGGGTCGGTCAGAACAGTTTGCTGAAAGGCTTGCCCAGGCTCTGCTGCCGAAGCTGGAGTGGCTCGGTAGCAGCCACTTGGCAGGAAGATGTGGAGATGGGGCGAGCAGCGGCTGCAGTACAGACGAATCCCAGGAAGATGTTGCTGCTTCTGCTGATGTTTCTGGTGCTCGTGCTTATGCTCAACCTCGTGATGATGCTGCTGCTGATGACAGTGCAACCATCAGCATCACAGTGTTGCACACAGGAGGGACACTGGATATGTTCGGCCTTGCACAGCGATTCCCTGAAGAATTCTCTCCCAAAGATTGACAGACAGCATTCTGTGCCATCTGATTGGGAATGGGTAACTTGCATTGCCTGCCACACTGCCTTTGGCCTTATGCTGATGGGAAATGTCTGACAAGTGCCCAATGACCCTGTCCTGTAGGCAATGCGTCAAGAAGAGTTTCAGTGCTACCACCTCGCAAACCTCACAAGTGATTCACATGCAGGTCGGCTAACTAACACCCCAGCCAGCCCAGCAACAACCATCATAACCACTAGCTGGCACGAGAGAACGAATTTTATGCGCTGTCTTGATTGCGCCGGCACTAGCTGAAACGGAAGCACCCCTGCTGCAGCGAGAGAACATTGTTACGGTACCGTACTAGCGTATGGCCTCACACTTAACAAATGCCAATGCCCTGATCCCCCCTCTCACAAGCCATTGTCCTGAAGTTCTAGGAAAACACCCCAGCCAGCATCAGCGGTGGTATCAACAGGCAGAAGGAAATCATCCCCCAGAGCATGAAGCCGTGCTGAAGGCATAGCGCAGGCGCATGGTCTGCAGAGAAAAGAGAGACCCAAAGGAGCCCTGGAACATGTCGGCGTGCGCGCCGATCGCCATGGTTACCAGACCCACATGAGCCCCCCTCTTCCTCCTCCCCTACCCTTCCCCACTCCCTCACAAGCCGTTGTCCTGGAGATCTAGGAACACTCCCCAGCCGGCATCGGCGGTCGTATCAACAGGCAAGAGGAAATCATCTCCCAGAGCAGCATCCCTACACGAAGCTGTGCTAAAGGCATACCGAAGGCGCATGGTCTGAAGAGAGAAGAGAGACCCGAAGGAGCCCTGGAACATGTCGGCCTGCGCACTGATCGCCATGGTCACCAGGTCCAGCACCTGCTGGAAGGTTCCTGGAAAGCGCTTGAGGATGCGCTGGTGAAAGGCGCGTGGGAGGATGAAGCGGACCGAGTCGCCGTTGATCTCCCACAGCTTGTACCATGCTTCACGGACCTGCCAGTAAGGAGGACAGGGGGGTGATGCAATGAGGGTGGTTGAGATGATAGAAGGGAGGATGAAGCGGACCGGATCGCCGTTGATCTCCCACAGCTTGTACCATGCTTCACGGACATGGGGATAAGGGGGATAGAGGGTGATGCAGGGAACGGGATGGCAAAATGCATGGGACGAAAAAGCGGACAGGCTAAGCAGGTGGGAGGATGAAGCGGACCGAGTCGCCGTTGATCTCCCACAGCTTGTACCATGCCTTTCGGACCTGCCAATAACGGGGATGATGCAGCAAAGTGGATGGAAAAATGAAGGGGAAAACTGAATGGAACGAGCTGGCTGTTTCGGTTCCCCAATGCTTGCACACACTTTCTCCACAGCTTGTACAGCGCCAACCCACCTCATACAGTCACCACGCCCTTAGAAATAATGCAGCCAATTCACCGTGCCATGCAGGTGCAGCTCTCCTTTACAATGGGGTGCGGATCTTTGATCTTGTGAGCCCGGACCAAGGCGCGCCCCCGGACCAAGGCGCGCCCCCGGACCAAGGCGCGCCCCCGGACCAAGGCGCGCCCCCGGACCAAGGCGCGCGCCCGGACCAAGGCGCGCGCCCGGACCAAGGCGCGCCCCCGGACCAAGGCGCGCCCCCGGACCAAGGCGCGCCCCCGGACCAAGGCGCGCCCCCGGACCAAGGCGCGCCCCCGGACCAAGGCGCGCGCCCGGACCAAGGCGCGCGCCCGGACCAAGGCGCGCCCCCGGACCAAGGCGCGCGCCCGGACCAAGGCGCGCCCCCGGACCAAGGCGCGCCCCCGGACCAAGGCGCGCCCCCGGACCAAGGCACGCGCCCGGACCAAGGCGCGCGCCCGGACCAAGGCGCGCGCCCGGACCAAGGCGCGCGCCCGGACCAAGGCGCGCCCCCGGACCAAGGCGCGCCCCCGGACCAAGGCGCGCGCCCGGACCAAGGCGCGCCCCCGGACCAAGGCGCGCCCCCGGACCAAGGCGCGCCCCCGGACCAAGGCGCGCCCCCGGACCAAGGCGCGCCCCCGGACCAAGGCGCGCCCCCGGACCAAGGCGCGCCCCCGGACCAAGGCGCGCCCCCGGACCAAGGCGCGCCCCCGGACCAAGGCGCGCCCCCGGACCAAGGCGCGCCCCCGGACCAAGGCGCGCCCCCGGACCAAGGCGCGCCCCCGGACCAAGGCGCGCCCCCGGACCAAGGCGCGCCCCCGGACCAAGGCGCGCCCCCGGACCAAGTCGCGCGCCCGGACCAAGGCGCGCCCCCGGACCAAGTCGCGTGCCCGGACCAAGGCGCGCGCCCGGACCAAGGCGCACGCCCGGACCAAGGCGCGCACCATGCAGCAACCCACCTTACACAGTCATGCACCATTACGCAGAAACCAACCGACCTCTTGACCCAATGCGTTGGTGACAAGAAAGAGCCGTCGAATGCCTCATGCTGATAGCACACCAACAGCAACCCATCTTATACAGTTATGCACCATCACGCAGAAACCATCCCACCTCTTGATCCGATGCAACCGTGACAAGCAAGAGCCGTTGAATGCCAGATGCTGATAGCGTACCAAGCAGCAACCCACCTTATACAATCATGCACCATGCAGCACCAAGCAACCATCCCACCTCTTGATCCGATGCATCGGTGACAAGAAAGAGCCGTCGAATGCCTGAAGCAGACAGCTTGCGCCACAAGCAACCTGCCACCTCAGCAACTGACAGCTGGCAGGCACGGTTACCAACGCCTTTGATGTAACCCCCTTCACCGTCACCACCACCATCACCACTACTACTGCTGCTGCTTCCGCTGCTGCTGCTCCTATTGGCATTCGTACTCTCCTCAATGCTTCTCAATCCTCTTCTCTTCCCTTTCTTCACAAACCCAATCTTGGACTTCGATTCCTTATCTGCTGCAGCTGCTCTTGCTGCTGCTGCTTCTGCATCCCCACCCAAGTCACACCACAACTGGCCCTCCAACCCAGCCCTCTTCTCATAATTCACCGCTAAAAACGGGACTTTCGCCCCGTCACTGCCCGAGAAAAAAGTTTTCTGGATCTCCTTTGCTAGCCGCAGCACCTTCCGGTTGGGCAGGAGCGTGTACGGGTTCGGGCAGCCCGGCGAACGAACGAACGGCGCGTCACCCGGAAAGTTGACCAGATTCGGAGCATCTGGGACCTCCCAGAACGCGTAGAGCAAATCCCCCACAAAGAGCACTCGTGCAGCGCGAACCTCCGGCGCAGTGTAGACCGAGAGGAACGACCGGAGTGGGGATCGGCGTGTGAGGTTCGCAAAGAGGGCGGGTCGCGGAAAGGAGAGGTCGGGGCGGGCTCGGAATCTCTTGGGGAGAGCGGACTTGTCCTTGTACCAGGGCACGAGAGCGTCGATGGCTATAGGGTGTGCTGTTTCCTCGGGGTCGAAAGCCTCTTCTGCTGACGAATTCTCCTCGTCTTCTTTAGATTTCTTTTCTGTTTCTTTCTTCTGCTTCTTCTTCCCCTTGAGGAACCGCCTCCATTGGACCGTCTCTGCTTCTTCCCCTCTCGTTTCTTCATCCCCATGCCTTGCTTCTCCCCTCTCGTGCTCCTCCCCATCCTCCTCCTCACCCTCCTCCTCCGCCTCCTCCTTCCACCGCTCCTCCCCCTCCACTTCCCCGCCTCTCACCCCCCAACCAGCATCGCCCCGACCAACCAGCACCCTCCTCCTCCCCTCCCCCTCACCCTCCCCTCCTCTCCCCGTCCCCTTCCCCCTCTCCCGTGCTCTCCACTCATGCGCCAGCAGCACAGTGTCCTCGCCATAGCACATCCTGAGGTGCCCAACATCAACAGCCAGCTCCCACGAGTGCTCGCCCCGCACGCCCTTGCTGTGAAAGCGGCCGATCAGAAGAGTGCGGTTGAGCAGCCCTGCCAGCAGCAGGTGGTGCTGCAGACACACCAGCCGCTCGCTCAGCTGTCGGAGGGAATTGGGAAGGGGGGAAGTAGCATGGGGCACAAGGGAAAGGCCAACAGGGGCGAATGGGGATTTGTCATTTCCTCGCCATAGCACATCCTGAGGTGCCCAACATCAACAGCCAGCTCCCACGAGTGCTCGCCCCGCACGCCCTTGCTGTGAAAGCGACCGATCAGAAGAGTGCGGTTGAGCAGTCCAGCCAGCAGCAGGTGGTGCTGCAGACACACCAGCCGCTCAGTCAGCTGTTAAGGGGAGCGTATGAGGAGGAAAGCAAGAAAGTGAGGGCTTAAGCTCCCATGAGTGCTCGCCCCTCACGCCCTTGCTGTGAAAGCGGCCGATCAGAAGAGTGCGGTTCAGAAGTCCAGCCAGCAGCAGATGGTGCTGCAGACACACCAGCCGCTCACTCAACTGCCAAGGAAGCGGGGTGTGAGAGGGAAGCACCGGGGAAAAGGTACGCATGGGAAAATCACGAATGGGGAAGGCAGAGACACCAGCCGCCCACTCAACTGCCATGCAAGAGAGGTTGAGGGAGGAGAGTACGAGGGGGGAAGCGAGGAAGTTAGGGCTGGAATGAGTGCTCTAGCTCCTCACCCTCTTCTCTTTCCCTCCTTCACCTTTCCCACCTTCCTCGCCTTCCTCTCCTTCCTCTCCTTCCCTCTCTCACCTTGCCTTTGTGGCACGAGAGGAGCAAGTATCGGTCTGGCTCTGGTTTCCATTGCATCAAAACGTTGCCACCACCACCACCACCCTTGTTGCCATTAACAGCAGCAGCTGCTGCCGCTGCTGCTGTGGTGCGCTTCTCGCTGAACAGACGCGTGGCGCCACAGTGACGCGCCAGCTGGCGGTTGCGAGTCTCTAGAGCCAATAGAAACGCGGGGACTCTGGAACAGGGTGATGAAGGGTGGGACGGGAGATGGGGAGAAGATGGAAGTGGAAGCGGAATGCGGGTGGATGGAGGGTCAGAAAACGTGAACGCTTTGCGTTTGACAAAGCGAGCTGAAACGTCACAATGCATCAATGGCACGCGGCCTTACAGCCATGAACCCCTGGCAATCACGTTCGGGAATCAGGAAAAGGGGATGTTTCTGCACCTGTCTCCCTACTATCCCCCCCACACTCCTCGCGGTCTCCTCTTCCAAATTCCCCCCACCCTCCTTTTTCAACAGCCATCCTCCTTTCAGCTGATCCCCATTTCAGCTGATCCGTCCCTCTTCCGTCTTACTGGTCCTTTGCACTCGCTGCTGCTTCAGCGTCTCCCGCATTCTCTGCATCTGTAGCAATCGCACCCGTGCTAGTCGGTAACCCTATTCGCAGCAGCTCGTTAACGTGCGATCCAGCTGCCTCCTCAGCCTCCGCCTCAGATTCCTCATTCCCAGAATCAGCTTCGGAACTTTCCGGGATATCATCCGGAATTTCCGGAATCTCTGCAAGTTCCGGAATCTCCGGCGGCGCTTCTAACGGCTCTGATTCGTCCGAGCCGCTCGCCAAGGGACCCTCGGCTAACACCAGTAGCGCGTGCTTTGTCGAAATTAGGGAGAATGAGAATAACAGAACGAGACATAGTCGAGCAGCTATTTTCATTTCTGAAGAGCTTTGTAACGAAACGGTCGAAGAAAAGAAAATGCTTGCTGCGTTAGACAGGAGATTCAGGCGTCATCAGAAACAGCTGTTTCTTCTAAGAGCTCATCGATTTTGGCTGGCAAGTGAATCTGACTGACAGCTCTGCAAGCAGAATGCAGGGAGGGAAAACATGGAGGGAGGGAGCACGCGTTTCCATTCCATCCCACAAATATCAATAGAAGGGCTACAACTACAGTATGCTGAAAAAGGGCTTGTTTTGAAAACTTGCTGATATAGTTTTTCCAGTACATCTAGAAACACCTCTCCTTGAAAGATTGTGTAACATATTGCAGCCATAGCTTGCCGGCTTGGTGATGACACTACGGTTTTCTACAATCACGGAAGAAATATCATTCGCAAATGTAGTGGTTCATCAAATATGTGGATCTCGTTTCAAGAAACAGCAGTAGATAATTTGTGCATACAAATCTCACAAACTAAGCAGAATATTATGGATGAAAATTTCCAGCCAGTACAGGTGTAGCAGCTGTCAGAAAACGAATCGAAGCGTCAGTTTGACGTCAGGTTCCCGCGGGTCTCCAGACTCCGCAGTCGCGCCGATTGGCGGAGAGCATCCTGCGCGCAGAGGGTTCAGCGCAAGCTTCACCGCTCCCTCCCTCTGCCCTCTCCGCCCCCCTTTCTCGTTCGCTAGGTTTCACAGAAGGGGCGAAAAATGCCCAACTTGAACCTAGAAATTGCCAGAGTATCGTGTGGACTTCCTTGATTCCTCAGAGGCGCTTCCCTCGAGCTTATCGTCAACCCCATCTGCTTTTCTTGTCTCCGTTTGGCAAGATTTCGGATTTTCTCGTCAGGAGAGTAAACTGCAGCCATCTAAGTCAGTCTTGTATTGTAGGACTGGCTTCTGCGCCCTCTAATTCACCCGTTTCCTTTTCAGAGCCACGGGAAACCAAAATTTCGGTCGTCTGAGGCACTGAGACGCCTTCTGGATTTACTCAAGCATTTCGGGTAAACAGAACTGCTTCTTACCCCGTCAAAAGCTTCTGATGGAGCAGCTGGAGCACGACGATGTCAACGAAGGCATGGAGCAGCTAGCAATTGGTCCCTTGCCCATCGAGCAGCTGGAGGTAACATAAGAGGAAAATGGGTTCCCTTTGATGGATATACGCAGTGCATCAGTGAATCTCCGTATCCTCCGGTGATGAATGCGAATCTGAGCGTTTTTTCTTCTCTACAGCAATGCGGAATTTCTGCCACCGATGTGAAGAAGCTTCGCGAAGGAGGATTGTTCACTGTCGAAGCTGTAGCCTTCACCAGTAGAAAAGACCTCCTCAAGATTAAAGGCATCAGCGAGGCAAAAGTCGATCGTCTGAACGAGGCAGGCAAGTTCCGCTCGTTCTGTCATGACGCTTCTTCCGGTTCAGTACCTCTTAATGGAGTTCCGTATCTGTTTTGCTTATGCAGCCAGTAAGCTGGTTCCGATGGGGTTCCAGACTGCAACTCACGTGCATCAAATGAGAAGCAACGTCATTCATGTAACTACAGGATCGAAGGAGCTCGATGGTGTCTTGCAAGGTAATAAACTGATGCTATGGGATACAACAGATGCGTGATAGATGGATTGGGGTTACTGTTATGCCAGCCGTTCGAGACATGACTCTTTAAACGATGGTCCTTTTTTTCAGGTGGTGTGGAGACGGGGTCCATAACGGAGATTTATGGCGAGTTTCGCACAGGAAAGACACAGCTTTGCCTCACATTGGCTGTCACTTGTCAAGTGAGTGATTGTTTACGTCTCAGTTGAGACTTGTGCGGTTGTTCTCACCAATCTTCCACTAACACTTTTACTGATTCCGCCTGCAGCTTCCAGTGGCCGAAGGTGGAGGCGAGGGCAGGGCACTTTGGATTGACACGGAAGGAACATTCAGACCAGAGCGGATAGAACAAATTGCTCCGCGATTTGGACTTATTACTACTGAAGTGCTTGACAATATAGCGGTTGCACGAGCGCACAACACAGATCACCAGTCGCAGCTGCTCATTGAGGCAGCATCCATGATGGCCGAGAGCAGGCAAGTGGCATTTTTTAAAGTTGATTTGGTTGTGGTGCTGTTCATTTTCGGGTATGTAGGGCATTGTTGTGCTGACTTTTACGCTGTGTATTTCATTGCTGCAGATTTTCTCTAATAATAGTTGACAGCGTCACAAGCCTCTACAGGACGGACTACTCAGGCAGAGGAGAATTGGCTGCACGGCAGATGCACCTAGCTCGATTCCTGAGAACTCTGCAGCGGCTTGCAGACGAGGTACCGGTAACATTTTCCTCTCTTGTTGCCGCCCTACTCCTGCTGTCAGCCTCCATCATTATAACTCTCTGGAATATCTGTGTATTTGTGACTGCCAGTTTTCTTGTGCAGTGGTGGTGACCAACCAAGTGGTTGCTTCTGTCGAGGGCAACATGTTTGCTGGCCCTCAAGTGAAGCCCATTGGAGGCAATATTATGGCCCATTCATCTACAACAAGGTACCCCTATCTGAGGGTGTTTTCCGTGGCTGATTCTGTAACTGCGCTGACTCCCGGTGTGGCTGTTTAATTTCAGGCTCTCCGTGAGGAAGGGAAGGCAAGAGGAGAGGATTTGCAAGATTATTTGCTCACCTTGTCTGCCAGAGGCGGAGGCGAGATACTGCATTGCTGACGAGGGGATTACCGACTGCAAGGATTAAGGGAGTGTGTTGTCTTTCGTGCTTCAGCATATTTATAAGGATGCAAGTACAATCAAGGTTGCACTTGCGTGTTTTTGATAGCTGGATGTTGTAATGCTATTTTATCCCAAATGCATTTGTTCTGGGGCTTTCTAAGTTCAAGGCTGGCAGTAAAATAGCGCACAATAATTTTGGCATTACCGCACTAACGAAGCCCGAACTTGCCACGCGTTCGTGAAGATGGAGCCACCACATGAAGGGATGTCACATGCGACGCTCGAACCAAAAATGCCAACAACCTGACAAATTTGCTGCTCCCCGAGCCTGACGTGGTCCTGAGGAAGTTTGTGCTTGGCGCATATCGAGGCTGACGTGCTGGTTCGTTTTGAAACTTTCGGTTCGGCTCGCAAGCCTGCTCGACTGTTATTTTCCGCACAGTGCAGTACTTCATTTGCTACTGTACATTATTTCGTCTTTCTTACCTGTGCAGGCACGGCACTGGGAACTACGTACGAGTTCGTTGAGCGGCCTCCTCTTTAGTCTAGGATTTTCAGCCGAAAAGTGGTGTCTTGAACACTTTGGGGACTAGCAGGCTTGTCCTGCCGTGCATTAGGTTTTTCCTCAGCTTGAGCTCAAGCCGGCAATGCCTTTTGCTTGAGGGCACTGAGGACTAATAGTCGCTGAACGCGCAGCCGTACTAGGCATTGTTGTTCGGCCTTATGTTGGGCAGCTAGCTTTCATATGGACGTGATGAAAGACACAGCTGTTGTCGTTCGGTAGTCCGTAAGCACAAACCGTGCGCTGACGTAAACAAGATTATTTATTTTAGAAGATGCCGAAGCCTCTGCTACGGCACCCATCCAACCCTGTCCCAGACCAATGCCCCCGCGCTCCTCTTCCCGACTCCATACACGAGCTCGCATCGCGCGTCTTTGGTTCTGGGAAGTCCGGAAACAGGAAATTTCTAACCGCGCACAAGGGCACTAAGAATGCCGCGCGGAAAGGCCAGGATGAGGGCGGGACGGCGGGGCAGCGGTTCGTGGCGACGGCGGGGTTCGTGTCGATCGAGGCGGCGTCCGTGATGCAGCAGGCGCTGCGGCTGTGGTCCATGATGAGCCCCGTAGAGATCGAACGGCTCATGACCAGCCTCCAGGTGGGGCCTCGGATGATTAGCCTAAAGTGAGCTCCTTGACGGGTGCGCTTAAGGCCGCTCGTGCTTCAAACGAAGGCTTTACGCTAGACCTCGCGTGGTGGAGTTAGTACGAAAAGCTTTTAGTCGAAACTGCCCTGCTTTGCGTTTCGAAAGGTCTCGAAACTGCCGTGCGTCGCTGGCTCTAACCCGCCTCTCTTCTCATGCCTGCTCCCTTCCCTTGCTCCATTTCCCTTGCTCCTTTCCCCCTGCTCTTCCCGTGTTCCCTCTCATGCTTCTCACCTCCCCGCTCGCTCGTATCCGCATGGCAGGACACGGCCCTCATTCTCTTCGTGTACCACGATCCCGTGCACCTATGGACGCTCGCTGGTACGTACGGACTAGGCGGGCTGTTGCGGTTATGATTGCGTTCGTCGCGAGAGTGATTGGATTCATTGCGGGGTGCAATGTCGTTCCCCGTTTCACGTGCTATTTTGTCACGCCGTGTAGGTCGTGTGGGGGTGATGTGAAGAGTCGATGCAACGCCACTCCCAATCCCCCCTTCCTTACCCCCCTCTCTTTTCCCCAGGCTTGGACATGACGAGGCAGAGCAAACCTCCTCTTATCACCCCATTCCTCTTCTTCTTCCTCCATTCCCGCCCACTCCCTCCACCCCACCCCTCCCCCCCACAGGGCTGGAGCTGATGGAGAATTTGGAGAAGCCGGCGGAGCGGGTGGCGGCCGCTTTCACTCCCTCCCCCTCCTTTTATGTCTCCCCTCCTTTTATGTCTCCCCCCTCCCCCCTTCTCCCCTCCCCCACCTCCACGCCCACCCCCTCTCCCCCCCCCCCACCCCTGCCCCCCCCCCCCGGGCCCCCCCAGGCTTGGAGCTGATGTGGAGTTTGGAGAAGCTGGCGGAGCGGGTGGCGGCCCCTTTCACTCCATCCCCCTCCGCCTCTCCCTCCCCCTCTTTCTCCACCAACTCCCCCTCCCCCGTTTTCCCTCTTCACCAACCCTCCCGCGCCCCCCAGGGCTGGAGCTGATGGAGAGTCTGGAGAAGCTGGCGGAGCGCGTGGCTGCGATGGGCATGAAGTGCGAGGAGGCGCGCCTGCACGGGCTGGCGTCCCCTTTTACACCCCCTCCCACTCCCCCTCCCCACCTCTTCCCCTCTCCACCAACCTTTTCATCGCCCCCTCCTTAGGCCTGGAGCTGATGGAGAGTCTGGAGAAGCTGGCGGAGCGCGTGGCGGCGATGGGCATGAAGTGCGAGGAGGCGCGCCTGCACGGGCTGGCGTTCTACTTCCACGAGCTGCGCCACCCCGCCTCGCAGTTCCCCGCCTTCCGCCTGCAACCCGGGGAGCAGGAGAGCCTCATGTGGTGCGCAGGGAGGAGTTTGGTATGGGGAGGAAGGGCTCGTGTGCGGGGAGGGGTTGGGGGGTGTTAAACGGAAAATTGAGCTTCATGTGGTGGGTGGGTGGACCGTGGAGGTATTTGAGAGAGGGTGAGAGAGGCCTGCCGTCCCTTGCCGCCCACTGCTGTCTGCTCTCCGTGTTCATCCAACCGCCGGTCTCCCTTCCCCCTATCCCCCTCACCCATCACCCTCTCACACCACACTCGCCTGTGCTGGTGCAGCTACATGAAGGAGCAAGAGGAGCGAGTGGAGGAGGTGCCTTCTTCCCCCTGTTGTGCACCTCGGCCCAATCGCCACTACCCTGCGTCCCCCCTTCCCCCCTCAATCTCCCACTCCTTCACCCCGCCCTGGATTCCCAATCGTCTGTGCTGGCCCAGCTACATGAAGGAGCAGGTGGAGCGAGTGGAGGAGCTGCGGCAGTGCATGGAGCGGATCAACACTGTGCGCTCTAGCATCAAGTGAGTGCTCTTATAACGAGTCAACCCGTGTTGCTGTCTCGAGTAGGTGGTATGTTGTTGTGTCGAATGAAAAATCTACTTTCTCCTTTCAGATAAAAGGAAAGCGTTGGCTGCATTGCTTTGAGTGGTCCAAATCCTGACACGTCATCGTTCACCGTGACTGCGGATCTTCACTCCAACCGACTAAACCCATAATGCTCACTGCATGTGTCCTGCCCCTTCCCCCACATCATGGCGTGCATGGCATCCCTCATGTTACACCATGCGACTGTGGCATGAGCCGCTCGTGATGGCATGGCATGATGGCATGGCACATGACGGCATGGCAGGAAGATGCAGGGGCTGGTGTCGCAGTCGTCTGCCTCCTCCAACCTGCTGGCTGAGCTAGAGTCAGTCTCAGAGGACTACGAGCTAGACGACAACGACAACGACCCCCCGCAGTGCGTCCCCCCGCACATGCATGCATGCCTCTCCTTGCTACACACGCCTTGCTCTGCCATGCCTTCACCCGCCGCCCCCTCCTCCGCATCCTCCAACCTGCTGCTTGAGTCCAACTCCCAGTTCTTCCATGCCCCCCTTTCCCCCAGACCCAGCAGTAGCAGCAGCAAGGCGAGCAGCAACACAAGGAGCAGCGGCAGCGGCAGCAGCAGCAGTAGTGGCAGCGGCAACACATCGTTACTGCGGGAGATGAGTGACTCGTTTGATGATGCGGTGCTGGGACAGCTGGGCATGGCCAGGACCAACCTGCTGCCTGATTCCAACTCCCTGTCCTTCCGTGCGCCCCTCTCCCCAGGCCCAGCAGCAGCAGCAAGGCGAGCAGCAACACAAGAAGCAGCAGCAGCAGCAGCGGCAGCAGCAGTGGTGGCAGCGGCAACACATCGTTACTGCGGGAGATGAGTGACTCGTTTGATGATGCGGTGCTGGGACAGCTGGGCATGGCCCGGACCAACCTGCCCTGCGACATCCCTGGAGGGGAGGAGATCTTCCGACTGGTAAGCTTGCGTTTATATAGCCTGTTGTGTTCATAGCGAGTACATTCATAGCGAGTCTGTTTATAGCGAGTCTGGGCATGGCTAGGACCAACCTGCCCTGCGACATCACCGAAGGGTGGGGGGGGATTTTCCGACTGGTTAGTCAGTTGCTGTTGCTAGCTAGCCTCTTGTGTTCACATCACACCGAGTCTGATTGCAGCGAGCCTGTGATTGGTCTTGCTCTCTCGTCTTCCCTGCCCCACGTTCCCCCTCCCTTCTCGTTCTCTCTCTTCACTAAATCGGCTCACCAAGTTGCTTTTTGAGTCGACCCAAATCCCTTTCTCCTCTTCCCGACCCCCTTCCCCGCTCAGTCGTTTCTCTCCTCTCCCCCGTTGCCCTCTCTATCTTTCAGATGACTCGACTCACAGAGCTGCAGGCGAGGACGCTCTGGGCAGTGGAGCTGGACCACGTTGTCAGGGTGGGTGGGGTGACAGCATGGGGCTGCGGGTGGGTGGGATGATGAGGGCACGTGGGACTATAGTGACAGGGGGTAACGGTTTAACAGAGCTGCAGGCGAGGACCCTTTGGGCAGTGGAGCTGGACCACGTTGTCAGGGTGGGTGGATGGGATGCGGGCGTGGGGCTTAGGGTGGGTGGGATCAGGGGCAGATGAGACTATAGTGACAGGGGGAGCGGTTCAACAGAGCTGCTGCAGGCGAGGACGCTCTGGGCAGTGGAGCTGGACCATGTTGTCAGGGTGGGTGGGGTGAGGGCGGGTGGGAGGAGGGCGAATGGGAGGATGGAAGGTGAGTGAGAGACTTTAGTGGCGGGGGCGGTTCAACAGAGCTGCAGGCGAGGACTTTTTGGGCAGTGGAGCTGGACCATGTTGTCAGGGTGGGTGGGCGGTAGTAGGGTAGGTGGGATTATAGTGGGTGGGCTCCACCAGACCCTCGTTTTAACAGTCCACACCCTTGTTTCATGATCCGCATCCACGTGCTCTCTGTCTATCAACGTACATTCTGACAAGAACCCGTCAGAGAACACTTTCCTCTTTA